AATCAGTTTTGCTTTTTTCCCCCTACTGATTCCTGACTATCCCATGAACAGCTAATATCCTAGATCCTTTTTCTCCATTTTTTGCTGGAATGATGAAGGTTTACAGTAGAAATTCTAATTATTCCCTAAGTACATGATCTTGCACTTTGTATTATTAAATGCCATCCAATTTCTATTTCTCCACATCGCAAAGTTATTCTGTGTTTCCAGTGTAGTAGATCTGTCCTCCTCCATATTTACAGTGCCTCCCATCTTCATGTCAGCTGTGATTTTCATTAGCACACTGTTGCAACACCATTATCATCTCCCTGCAAGCAAATCCTTACCAAGCTTGCAATTCTTACATAAATTTCTAGTGTAGCTAACTGCTTCCTGCATGGCACTGTATCAAACTTTACCGAAGTCTGGAAATTTTAGATATGTGTGCTATCAAAGAATGATATTGGTTCTGTCTGAGACAAAATATATTTGGAAAAGCTACGCTGTATTTTAGTCTACTTTTCACTGTAGTCCACTTTCATGTCTTCAGTTATTCTGTTCTTTGAAATATTTAGGCTATAGCCTTTTCTTCCATACACAGACTATCAGAAACAGTCATACATGAAAGCTCCCTTATGAAGTTGGGTCTGGAAAAGGAGCCCATATTATGTGTTGCAAGTGATTAAATTAGTGCTTTGTTTTTCCTCCCTTGCTCAGGATCTTGATCTTTTCCCTGCCTCTGATGAATTCAGCACGTACCGGCGAGCGGCATTTTCCCCTAGACTTAGTGCAACTCGGTAACAGTACGGACAGATGTTCTCAGAAAAAGCTTCTGTCGCCCGTGGGTCTGGAAAAGGAGCCCATATTATGTGTTGCAAGTGATTAAATTAGTGCTTTGTTTTTCCTCCCTTGCTCAGGATCTTGATCTTTTCCCTGCCTCTGATGAATTCAGCACGTACCGGCGAGCGGCATTTTCCCCTAGACTTAGTGCAACTCGGTAACAGTACGGACAGATGTTCTCAGAAAAAGCTTCTGTCGCCCGGGAGCGGTATTTTGCCTTTGACTGCCTAATTCAGTACACCTTCACAGTCA